CTGCAATTTCAAATGAGAAATGTTCTTACTAAATGAAAGCCTTGAACTGCCAAAACATCAAGCTGTATGTTATAGCTTTCTTTCTAACTGTTAAAAGAACAAGTATGGGAACAGCTGAACATTCACTGTCAGTTAAAAGGTTCTCAACTCCCTGTATTACATTGTATGGAGAAAGTTTGTTGAGCGTCACAGACAGGTAACAGTGGTGGGATATCAATTAGTGCCACGGGCTAATGGGAAACGTTGCTTAGTGACCACTAAAGAAATTCTTATGTGCATACACTGACATGTGAGAATGGAACTAGGCTACTTAATTCTCATTATGGCAAGCGCAGCACCATGGAACCCTTTGGCCCTCGTGTTTTCACCCTTTTCCCCTGAGATGCTTCTTCTTAACAATTCAATATGGGTCGTTTAACACCTTCGATCCTTAGCGAGTCAAGTTTTTTTCATCCTAGTCCTGCCAGGTTCTAAAACGTAGTGATTTTCCCACCATGACCCCCTCCATGTAGACTTTCAAGCTGCCCAACACATTCAGCCCAGCAGCTGGGTTCCATGAGCTGTGCAGTTCTAGAAGTTAAGTGTTTGGTGATATGGTAGGTGAGGGTGGTGATGGTGTTGTTGGGTTGGAAGAATCCGCACTTGCTCTCACTTGCCATACACGCTCTCGTCACTATAAGCCACATACAGGAAGCAATCTTCTTCATGGTTATCCTGAAAGACACAAACATATGTATTGGAATCCATAGTAAAAATATTTCCTATTAAGCACATGTTACTTGTTAAAACAGCTCAAGGAGCAAAACACTAATACACAAAGTGCAGTAATTCAGAGTAGTGACTAAAAGACTTTACATATTAGCTTTACTAAATGCTTACACAAATACTGAATAAGTCTGCTTGGTCCATTACCAACTATACCAGAAACACACACACTTTTAATGACTTTTTTTCATAGACCCCTAAAGAAAATAAACAACAGATGCTGTTCCGGATAAAGTCCAACTCCAGGAATTAAACAATATCTACACTTGCAGTGGGACCTCCATGCACCACAAAAGGTTTAAAGTATAATTTCACCTTTCATAACATCATACTGCAGTATTGTCCCCAGATTTCCTCCTCCATACCTCATTGTGACAGCTAGAGGGGATCATCCCCACCAGCTCGTTGTCACAATTTGCTCTGCCCATATTCTCTGAATGGGAAACTACAAGTAACAATCAACTTTTCTTAATGAACTACCATGGCGCTGTTGAGCGCTCTAGTAGTTCATGGATTCTTCCTGCCAGTGTGAAACTGCCTGCTTGAACGATGTAGAAATCCCGCATAGTACCATCAATCTGCAGGTTGTGGGTGCAATGCTTTCCAGACGCCCCCCCCCCCCACCCAAAAAAACACCATTTTTTTACCTGCAAAAAAATGTGTTTTATTTTATTTTTTTTTTTTAAAGTGACCTTATCCTTCAATTCTTATTAGGTCTGGGAGCCAAATGAACAGGCTATATTACTTGCTTTACCCTTGCTCTGGCTGGTTCCAGCAATCTCCTCATATTAACCCTGCATTGTATGTAGGGAATGTAGGAGCAATACCATGGCCACATTAGCGATGAGGCTTCAAAGGATCAGTTGCATTGCTGGAGCGAGGAAGTAACTATGTATTACTCCTTATTCTTGCATCCCTAGAATGAATGAATGACCAGTTAACCCTTGCAGTGAACTTTGGCTTGTGTTTAATTTCTGGAATTGGGCTTTAAGGGTGCCGCCAGTCCGTCCCACCTATTGGTGCCCATCAGTGCCGCATATCTGTGCAGCCTCATTAGTGCCTATCAGTGCTGCCTCATCAGTACCCATCAGTGCTGCATATCAGTGCAGCCTCATCTGCGTACATCACTGAAGGAGAACATTTACCCGTTTGTTAAATTTTAGAACAGTAACTAAAAAAAAAAAACATTTTTTTTTTTAATTTTTTGTATTTTTTCATTTGTTTAGCCAAAAATAAAAAACCCAGTGGTGATTAAAATACCACCAAAAGAAAGCTCTATATGTCTCAAAAAAATTATAAAAATATCATATGTATACAGTGTTCCATGACCACGTAATAGTATTTCAAGTTACTAATTAAGGACCTATTAAAAAAATATATATATATTCAGTTCACCTCCCATTATAGCTAAAACTTTTCTTTGGTTTTGAATATCATAGGAAAAACCTAAACCCAAAAGTTATAGCTATTGATACAATTTTAAGGCACACTGACCATGGCTACACATTTCTGGCCTACCTAACATCTTCTTTTTTTTTTCTTTTAAATAGAAAAGGGGGAAGAAGGACACAACTTACATTTTAAAGCATTCAGACATTTAAAAACATAACAAAAAACATGTGTGTTCAAGAGAAGAGTGTTTTGGCTGGAAAAATGCCAAAAACTGAACAAAATATGTGTGAACGAGCTTAAGCGATAGGCACGTTTAGCACTTTAGGATTTATTCATTTCAATGGGCAGAATAAATTTATGTTCTGGCCAATTAAATTAATAAAATGTGCAAGCGCTTGTCGCAGCTAAACGGGTTTTCAAAAATGCAGCCTACGTAAGTTTTTGAAGCTGCTTTTCTCTTGCCATGAGAAAAGAATTTACAAAAAGCTCCACCATGCATGAGGCCTTAGTGTCATGAAGTCTACACATGCATACTAATAGTATAGTAGAGAACAGAGCTTCTGTGACCATAACGTGAGTGAGAGAAAATTAAAATGATCATACTGTTAGCAAGTACAGAATTCAGGAGACGTTTCCCTGTCTTGTTAGGTCACTAGCTTCAGATTAGGTCCAGACTGGCTGTTACTTCTGACATTTATCCAAAATGTTGTCAGCTCTGGGAACAATAGATGTAGGATGTAACTGACTGCTCAGCTCAAGCTTACTAAGCCCCTCAGGCTTTATGTTTTATGGAACCTCCTAGGTACATCCTCCCCTTGTCCAATAGTTTGGGCTGCCCCCATAGTGATACCACAGATTGGCAGGACCACATATAGCTCTATACATATACCTCTATACTGCAAACTAACGTTTAAAGTGGTTATAAAGACAAAAAAGGGTTTTTTTCCCCTAATGCAGTCTCTGTATTAAAGTGGAACTTTAGCCAGAACAACTTGATAAAAAAATAAATGCTCTTTAGCAAGGAACATACATTCCACATTAACAACTATGCTAACAAAATTAATGCGTGCTGTAAATTGCCTCCAGTATGTTTTCTGTTTCTTTTTGCTGAAGGCTGCCCTTTTGCTGAAGCCTACTGTCCCTGGCGGAGAGCTGCAGGAACAAGAACATGTTAGACCCTAAAAAACGGGTGGAACATGTAACTTGTCCCTTTACGATCTGTAGGTTATCCTAAGGCTGCTTTAATGCTGATCTGTTTTTCTTCCACTTTTGCGTAAAAAAAAAAAAAAAAAAAAAAAAAAAAAAAAAGGCAGAAGAAAAACATGTGACCATGTATTCCTATGGAACTCTTCACACTGATCCACTGCGGGTCAGGTGCCTTTTTAAAAATTTTGCTTGCTGCAATTTTGGTGCGGTAAAAAAAAAAAAAAAAAAAAAAAAACACACCTCCCCATTGAAATAAATGGAAAATGCAACAAAAAAAACTTATAAAAACGGACACAATGTGTTTTAGTGTGGTTTTTGAGACACGTGTCATATTACAAACGCAGCAAAAATGCATATGCATTTTTGCTGCAGATCAGTGTGAAAATAGCCTAAGTGTTTGGCAGCTCACATACAGTTTCATGGATTGCCAAAGTTGGACTGGTGAGCTAGAAAAGACATCTGGCACATGCAGAGGTTAGGAACAGGACATGATGGCAAACAGAAGCAAGATTCAAAACTATGCTAGGTAGGGCCCCACATATGAAGGGGGTAATTTGGCAAGAAGGCACTCATGCTTGGCCTGGTAGAAGAAAGCAAACATCTTCTGCATGGGGTCTCTCTGCAGTCTATGCCACCACTGTCTCTCTATTACATTTTCCACCAGCAGGTTGCATATAATTCAGCTTTTCTAAATCTTTTCAAACACAGAGCAGCCCTCCAGTGTCAAGGAACCCTTGCTAAAATGTGTGAGATGGTCAGTGGGAAGAACGCTCCTTACACTTGTGGTCATTGGGAAGAATTACCCCCTTTTAGATTGCTTAAAAGATTAATGGTGTAAGTGGGAACTTATCTGAGAGGAAGAAGTTGCTTAAGGAACCCCTAGAAACCTCTGGAGGAACCCTAGTTGAGAAACCCCGATAGAATAGATTTAATGTAGATTTAGAAGTATTTTACCAGCTTACTTACCAGCACTGAACTTGTTTTGTATGCATAATAGCCATCCCATGCCATAGTGAGGCAGCCCATCATGGTAATGGACATATAGAAATGTATGTAAGGGAGGAAACTCCAACACTACCAAGCAGTGACATAACTTCACCTGATCAGAACAGCCTGGCATTGGAGGTGGAGTGGAGCAATAAAAGCTGATACATAATGAGCCAACACCTCTAGGTGCCTGCTCTTTGTACTTGTCAGCAGCTTTTCTAACAGCCTCATGCAATGTTAAGAGCCACCAAATATCTCTTATGGATAGATATCACACCATGTCCAGTTGCTGCTTGTTACCAAACAGACATACTCCATAGATATGCTTATCTTATTATACAGTAGATTAGACTAGGAGTAGATGAATCATACCTGTATGCTCAACTTTCCTTGAAAGTCTACAGCCAGCTCTAATCATAGAATTTTACTTATTTCAATCAGTCCTTTGCATCATAGCTACCTTAAAATGCACTGACTTTATAAAGCAGACCTATGACCCGATCATGTACAGCCACTCCATGGACTCCCAAACACTCCATGGTGATTTACTGCATGTTGACAGTTGCTATTGGTCTTGATCATCTGCCTATCTCTTGTGCTGTTGACTAGTAAATTCCGAATCGGTCAAACTTTATAAATTCACAGACATTTCATGCAACTTTAACCCAATACCCCCTTACCTCGTACAGCTGTCCCATGGTGGCACTGGTTGGGGGAATGGTGTTGTTGACAAAGAAGAACAGTGCGTCTTCTGGTCGAAGGTGTATCCGCTTCCTGATTAGGAAGTAAAACTGTCCAACTGAAGGTTGTGGAGGAAAAAAAAAACATAGCTGATCAACATGGACATCATGTTAAACAAACAAGGAGAGAAAGTCCTAGAATATCTGATGATTAGCACTGAAGGTCTCCCACTACACAGCTATATAAACAAATTGCAACACCTCTTGTAATCCATTACTCCTAGACTACTAATACTAGGCATTTCTAAGTGCTGAAGATACCATGTCAATGAAGTCAGACGTGGCAATACATGAAACGTATGAGAGGGGTGGGGGAACATACCAGTGAGGTCTGATGGTACAAGATATTTCCTCTTGTCCAAGTCAGGGACACGAGCTTTAGGAGCCTTTTCAACAATTACCTGAAATTAAGCACACGGAGTGAGGTTAAAAAATTACTTGACTTGAAACTTTTGCATTGGATTTAAAGCGATTCTAAAAGGTTCATTTTTTTATTTTGGTAAATTAACAACCATGTCTATACTTACCTGCTATGTGCAGTGGTTTTGCACAGAGCAGCAGGCCGGATCCTCCCCTTCTCGGGCCTCGCAGGCTCTCCTGGCTGCTCCTGTCTGTTGGGTGCCCCCACAGCAAGCAGCTTGCTATGGGGCCCCCCCGCTGCTCCGTGTGTCCATTCACACATGGAGCCATGGTTGCTCCCTGTCTCCTCATTGGCTGACTGGCTGTGATTGACAGCAGTGGGAGCCAATGGCTCCCTCTTGCTGTCTCAGCCAATGAGGAGGCAGAGACCAGAGACAGCAAAGGCTGTTGTGAACATCGCCGGATCTCGATGGGGCTCCGGTAAGTATTGAGGGGACTGGGGGTGCTGCTGCACACAGGTTTTTTACCTTCATGCATCGAATGCATGAAGGTAAAAAACCTTCAGCCTTTACAACCACTTTAAATCTGAACGTATCTAATTTGAAGATCAGTTGTGTTGATTCTTCTCCTCAGCTGATGGTTAAATTCTTGGAGACCTGACAGTTGTAGAGGAACAGGAGCACCACTGTAGACCACACAACTATTCCATTAATTCTACCACAGGCTCAACATGAGCATCACTTTGGCATATGAAGAATTAATCAAGATGCCAGACAAGACAATTAATACTAAGAAATTAAGAGCAGCCATATGTTTCAAATATTTTTCCATGAATGCACACAAACTTTGGCATCCATGCCAGGTATTAATGGAACTGATCATTTTAAACCTATATATGTGGTGGAAAGTATGACCAGATTTCCCACTGGCCTATTTGATAATCGAATGGACATGGCCCATGCCACACGATGGTTTTTCATACAAGATTTTTGGCAAATTAAAGCAGTTTAAAACTCAAAAAAACAAAGTTTAATATATTTCAGCTTACCAATTCTTAGATTTGCCAGTTGAATTAGATTCCATTTTTATGATATTTTTTTTTCCTTGTATTTTTACCTGGTGAACTGTCCACTAAGACCTCGTTCAGGCCATGTGCAGAGATCTGAGTTCTGACATGTGTTCATGCCACAACACTAGTATCATGTGCAGATTTTTTCTGTACAGGAATCTGCAACGTGTATAAAACTAATTGAGAACTGCATGAAAACCGATGTAAACTCATGTCTCTGCAAGTGAAATCTGCACATCAGTTTCCATCAGTTCTTCAACCAGCCTGCTGACTGATCGAAACAACTAATCAATGTATTTACAGGCAGCACAGCCATGCACAGCCTACAGCTTCAATAGGTATGGATGGAAGTTCCGTCCTCCTGTGAATTCTGGGGATTGAATGTCAATGGTTGCTAGGACACAGATGGATCTAACAACCAAAGAGGAGTGGAGGAAGGGGCCTTCTGCAGGAGACAAAGAAGGGGGATGCTGAGACCACAGGCACCTGCATACTTGAGCTGTACACACTGGTTATTGATGGGGGATGCAATGAGGGTTACCTTACTTCAAATGGTTCCCAGGACATGTACCATACCTACTATTCCCTACATACCCCACAGACTGCAAGAGGGAATATTTTTCTTTCAAGTCCTGGAGATCAGTTTTAAGCCCCCATTCAAACTGCATGCAAATTAGAAATAATTAAGCTTGAAGTCACATGATTTCAAAGTCGCAAGTCAATGTGACTTTGGGAGCAATTTGCAGACATCTGTGTGACTTCATGCACAGAGGTCTATGGAAGTCGAACCCGAAATCGGCAAAAGTAGTGCAGGAACTACTTTTCAAATCCGTGCGATACCGACTAGGGAAGATTTACCAAAACTGGTGCACACAGAATCTGATGCAGCTGTGTACAGTAACCAATCAGTTTCCAGGTTTTATTGCTTAATTGAACAAGCTGATGTTAGAAGCTGATTGGTTACTATGCACAGCTATACCAGATTCTGTGTGCACCAGTTTTAGTAAATCTCACCCTTAGGCTAGGTTTACATCTGTGGGGTGGCGCAGCTGCAGATCCGCACAAAAATCCATGCAAGCCGCACCATCCGCACAGAGGAATGCAGACCTGCGGGCGGGTGCAATAAGTTCAAATGGCACGCCGCCCGCACTGAACAACGCAACCGTACTGGAAACCAAGGTTCCCATGCAGGCTGCATTTTCAGAAGAAGTGCATGGATTTCTTCTCTGCGTGTCACGGGGCATGGGAGTCCATTCAAATGCTTGGGCTCTCGTGCCCATGTAAAATGCAGCCCGCACGGCCGCATATATGTGAACCAGGGCTAAGTTGGCATCGCACCCATTAGAATGGTTCCATTGATGATCACTGGATGCGATTTGAACGCAAATTGCATGACAAGTTGCATTCGTGTGAATCAGGGCTTATGCCACTTTATATAAAGTATGCTTACACTTCAGCCAAAATGACAATGCCATAATATTAATGTCTCCCTTATCAGAGTGCTGTAATATAACTGCCACACTTAAGGGCCGGTTCACACGATAGAAATGCAGTCCAGATGCGTTTCCAGATGCGCGTTTTTGAGGCATTTCAGTGTGTTTTTGATGCATTATTTTTTTCTCCCCTCTCTTTTTCTTCAATTTAAATAGGGACATGTGCATTCCAGTGCGTTTTACCACGTTCCAGTACAGTTCTGTGCAGAAATAAATGCAGCATGTTCTACTTTTCTTTTTTCTGCAACTTGAACACACTGGAACTGCAAGCACTGATGTGAACTATAACATTGACAACCATATAACCTACTTTCTGTGCGTTTTGGATGCAGAAAAAAAGTAACAGAAATGCATGTAGTGTGAACTGGCCCTAAGACAGGGCCTCAATATCACGGTCTTTCTAATAGCAGTGTCATAACATCACGGTCTCTTTTATAAAAGTGTTTTAATATTACTGCCTCCTTTATGACAGTACTGTAGAATTTCCTAATATCACTGTCCCCCTGAAGACAGTACAATGATGCCCCCCTTATGACAGTACTGCAAATTGTTGTACTATTACTGCCCCCTGATGGCAGGGCCATAATATTAGGGTCACCTTTATGAAGGTGGTGTAGTGTCAAAGTCCCCTTTATGACGATGATTTAATATCTTGGTCTCCCTTATAACAGTGGTGCATCTATCTCTTCTGACAGTACGATAATATCCCTACCCTCCTATGACATTGCCCTAATATCATTACCTCCTTTATAATGGTGGTTGGAATATGACAGCCTCCCTTATGACAGCACTGTAATATCCCATTGTAATGTCCCATTATAACAATATCACCATCTCCCTTATCCACACAGGTGTCCCAGATTTGGTTTATCTCAGGACACAATGTTCTTTCATCCTTCTATTTATGTCAGAATGACTTGTATGGATAACGAGGCCTTGAGCTTGCCCAGATTGCAATCAGCGTTGTTATTTAGTATATTTTTTATTTTAAATAAATATATTTTCCTCTACAGATACAATGTATAAATATTTGTCTAAATCATAAAATATTGTTACTTATTTATAAACACTAAGCAGGAGCTGTCTGCAGCTACCAATCGGGTGCTTCCATTCATCTTTTAACCTGCCTGGAATAAAGGCAGCTAGAATCTGATTGGTTGACATTCTCCCCCACCCTGCTTTTCTACCTTTCACATGGAGTTCAGGAACAGAGAGGAAGCAGCAGCAGTCCATGTAATATTGAAGGGGTTAAATGAAGCATCAGAGAAGCCCTCCCTTCTCATTGCAGTGCTGAGAAAGGAGGAGCGCCATCCTTCCCCAAGGTCCACATACAGCTGGAAGAAGACATCGGCTTGCCACAACAATATATACCTATCTAGACATCAATCAGTTTTATTCTCGATCAGTAATTGTGATGACCAGAATGGATTCCTTATTCCTGCGCACCTCTGGGTTGGGGGAAATAGGCCTCCTTTATTAAACGAGGAAACAATGGACAGATCGCAACCGCTACATGAAAATGAGCCAATAAATGGGATGCCTGAGATCTATATATCCTTTCATTATGTCAGCCCTCCCTCCACGGCCTACAAACTCCCCATTGTCCTCATCAACGACAGATCCTTCTTAGATTGTAAGCTCTAGGGAGCAGGGCCCTCCCATTTTGCTTATATTGAATTGTATTGTAATGGTACTGTCTGCAGTTTTTTTTTTTTGTCTAAAGCGCTGCGCAAACTGTTGGCACAATATAAATCCTGTATAATAATAATAATAATGCCATCATCCCTTTAATCATTTTACCTGTAACCACCAGTGACAAATCCTGGTCATTGTCATACCTGAAAATAAAAATGAAAGCAAACCTCCCTCTCTCACCTGTATTACCCTGTACACCACCACAGCCTTTGTTCCAGCACATACATCCCATGTATCAGATCATCATGGTTTATACATGGGGGACCAATAATAAGACTGTAAGCTCCCAGGATCAGGGCCTCCTAACCCTCTTGTATTGTCTCCCTTTATATTGTAAAGCGATGCGCAAACTGTTGGCGCTATATATAATCAATCATATTATTACAGGGGACCCACACTATTCTGGTTTATGGCTTTTGTAACCTATACTAATTTAAGACATAATAATAAATAGGGCCAAACCAAGCATAGCCCCCCATAGCGTGCCAGGAGTAATCCCATTTCCTTGCTGGATGGACAGTGAGCTCTGCACTGTGGTTTTCCCTGTCTTGCTGGTTCCAGGAAGGGGTTAATCCTGCAGGTAGAATGCACACAGAGGGGGATGGGGGGATATAGGGGGCTCATACTCACTGGCACCCTGTCTGGGTATTTTTTCCTGATCTTCTCGCCCTCCTTCTTCCTGTACTCGTAGGGGTGATCCTCTTTGTACTGAAATTTCATGGCTGCCCTCTATGGTGTCCGGCTGTCTGCACAACAGATGATCAGCTCCTTTAAAGCTCGCTGTCAGGCTGTCTGCTAGGCAGCAGGCACAGGGACGGGTGACGTCACCGGGCACTCCTCTGGGCGGTACCAGGCTAGCCAAACAAAGGGCAGATTGCGTTAACCCCTCCTTCGCTGCCTGTCACTGCGCAGATGCTGGAGTGTGGAAAGAGCGATCATCAACAGACACCAGGGGGACAGGACAGGCTGGGACTTCTAGTCCTACAGATTGGTCAACTCTAACAATAAACCTCTCCTTTTGGTCTGTTAAATACACCATGAAAAGTGTTTATAATATCTGCAAGAATAGATCAGTCCTTCCAGCCAGAACTCCGATATCTTCCTGAGCTCCCCATCTCTGAACTGTTACCAGCATTGTTCTCTGCTATCCTCCTGGACTACAAAACACCTCCCCCTGTTATGGAGGTGCTATGCAGTCCTAACCCACTCCCCATACTAGGCTGTACAGGTTGTCACCCTAGGACAGGAAGTCTGCCAATGGCAGGATCAGCAGATGAAAATAAAGAACGGTACTTGTCTGTGAATTCACCGGATTTATTTATATATATATATATATATATTTATATAAATAAATCCGGTGAATTAACAGACAAGTACCTAAATAACAAGCCTTAAAAAAATTGGTTCTAAAGCCAAAGCGTCTGTTACTTTAATGGATCCCTTGCATTAAGGTCAAATGCATGTAGCAGTATCACCCCCTCACCAGGGCAGGTGCAATTGTTGTCTCCTGCTTCTGTCAATTAAGTTCAGTGAGGAGGGATCGGAAGGTGGAGCTAAGCTACGCTGTGTAAGTCTATGGACACACATAGCCCAGCTCAGCAGCATGAGTACATGTCTGACCCTATAGCAAGCATCTTGCTATGATGGCGCACATTGAAAAGTGCCAGCAGGGAACCCTAGAAGAGGAGGATCAGGGCCACTCCATTCGATTCTATACCATGTTTGTTATTTTAAGGGGAAAAAATCCTTTATAACCACTTGAATGAAGCCTCCTGACTGGTTAGCTACAATGCTATCAATCTTTCATCTTGACTTTGAGCCTGGGTTCACACTTGTGTGGTGCGGCATACCGCATGTGATTTGCACAGGAACCGCACCGCATTACTGTGCAAACCACATGCGAATTCTGTACAGTGTGATTTGAGCCATACATTTTGTATGGTTTAAATCGCATCGCATTTGCACCAAAGGTGCAGGACCCCTTTTTGGTCCGCACTAGAATTGGATCACATAGGTATTCACATCCATGCGATCCAATTCTGCACATCACACCGCGTTTTGCAGACCGATTTTGGGGTGCAATTGTGATGTGGTGCGGAATTTTCAAAATCGTAGAGGTTCCCATGAACGGGGTGCGATTGTGATGTGGTGCGGAATTTGCACTGTGAATTCCGCACCACATCAGTGTGAACCCAGGCTGAATAAAAAAAAAAAAACTGACCAGATAGGTTTTGGGATTCAAAGTGGATGGGGAATCCTTCCCACTTATCAGTGGGGAGACTTCAGTACCGTCAGAATACATTGATCAGCCCTGCAGTCTGGTCGAGAGGGAAAAATCTGACATTGCTGATTTATTGACAGCAGGGGCGAACTGACCATTTGGGAACTCGGGCACTGCCCCAGGGCCCGGGGTCAGTAGGGGGCCCCATGAGATGCCCCTGATACCTTTCATAGGCTTTTTTGCTGTGGTTTGAGTGTGGGTGAGGACACAGGGGCCCCATGATCCCCTATTGCCTGGGGGCCCCACGAGTTGTCAGTCCGCCCCTGATTGACAGGTAAGGTGATCACGTTCGTTTTCTTTTTTTCTTTTTTTCTTTGCACCCCCTGATCCTACCAGTTCAGGCCCATTCACACCAGGGAGATCCGTTGCGGTGTGTTTAACACAGTTTACGTCATGAGTAACTCTATGTTGCATTAAGGAGGCTCACTTGTGTGAACAGGCTGGCAAATGCACCACGATGGATCTAAAATCACTGCTGCAACTTTGGTAACGAAGTGCACAGCATGAGTGTGCAGTTACTGTGCATAACAGTCTGCTGCAGCACAGGTTCATTGGGCTTCATTCAAAGTGAAAGGGATTGTAGTGCTCCAATACCTGTAACATGTGTTACTGTTCTTTACCACAACCTAACATACTTCCTGTCTTAGAATAAAAATGTTCACTCATTGTACTGTGTTTATGTAGGAGCAACATTGTCACCCTAGGTCAGGACTACAGAACACCTCCACTTCTCCTCCTTAATGGAGAGGTGTCCTGTAGTTCACATAGGGCAGGAAGATAAGGCTACTTGGGATAACACAGGGAATTGTTGGATCCACGGCAGGAATATATATATATATATATACATATATATTGTGAAAGAAATAAGTATTTGATCCCCTGCTGATTTTGAATGTTTACCCACTCATAAAGAAATGATCAGTCTAAAAATCGAATGGTAGGTGTATTGTAACACTGAGAGACAGAATAGCAACAAAAAATTCAAAAGAAATGCATGTCTAACAAATTATGAGGGAAATAAGTATTTGATCCCCTTCACAAAACATGACTTAGTACTTGGTGGCAAATGCCTTGTTGGCAATCACAGGATTTTGGCTCACTCCTCTTGGCAGATCCTCTCCAAGTCATTAAGATTTGGTGGCTGATGTTTGGAAACTCAAACTTTTAGCTCCCTCCACAGATTTCAGTCGGATTAAGGTCTGGAGACTGGCTAGGCCACTCCAGGACCTTAATGTGCTTCTTCTTGAGCCGCTCCTTTGTTGCCTTTGCTGTGTGTTTTGGGTCATTGTCATGCTGGAACACCCATCCACAACTTATTTCCTTCACTGTATATACACTATATTGCCAAAAGTATTGGGACAGCCCTCCAAATCATTGGATTCAATTGTTCCAATCACCTCCATGGCCACAGGTGTATAAAATCAAGCACTTAGGCATGCAGACTGCTTCTACAAACATTTGTGAAAGAATGGGTCACTCTTAGGAGCTCAGTGAACCCAAGTGTGGTACCGTGATAGGTTGTCACCTGTGCAATAAGTTCAACCGTGCTACTAAATATTCCACGGTCAACTGTTAGTGGTATTATTAAAGTGGAAGCAACTGAGAACAACGGCAACTCAGCCACGAAGTGGTAGGTCACATAAAATAACAGAGCGGGATCAGCATATGCTGAAGCACACAGTGCAGAGAAGTCACTAACTCTGCAGAGTCAATAGCTAAAGACCCCCAAACTTTGGATTAGCACAACAACAGTGTGTAGAGAGCTTCATGGAATGGGTTTCCATGGCAGAACAGCTGCATCCAAGCTTTACATTACCAAGTGCAATGCAGAGCGTCTGATGCAGTGGTGTAAAGCACACTGCCACTGGACTCTAGAGCAGTGGAGACGTGTTCTCTGGAGTGACAAATCACACTTCTCTGTCTGGCAATCTGATGGACATGTCTGGGTTTGGCGGTTGCCAGGAGAATGGTACTTGCCTGACTGCATTGTTCCAAGTCTAAAGTTTGTTGAAGGGGGATTATGGTGTGGGGCTGTTTTTCAGGGGTTGGGCTTGGCCCCCTAGTTCCAGTGAAAGCAACTCTTAAGTCATCAGCATACCAAGACATTTTGGACAATTTCATGCTCCCAACTTTGTGGGAGAAGTTTGTGGATGGTCCCTTCCTGTTCCAACATGACTGCGCACCAGTGCACAAAGCAAGGTCCATAAAGACATGGATGAGCGAGTTTGGGGTGGAGGGACTTGACTGGCCTGCACACAGTCCTGACCTCAACCCGATAGAACACCTTTGGGATGAATTAGAGTGGAGACTGCGAGCCAGGCCTTCTCATCCGACATCAGTGCCTGACTTCACAAATGTACTTCTGGAAGAATGGTCAAACATTCCCATAGACACCCTCCTAAACCTTGTGGACAGCCTTCCCAGAGGAGTTGAAGCTGTTATACAGTCAGGTCCATAAATATTGGGACATCGACACAATTATGACATTTTTGGCTCTATACACCACCACAATGGATTTGAAATGAAACAAACAAGATGTGCTTTAACTGAAGACTGTCAGCTTTAATTTGAAGGTATTTACATCCAAATCAGGTGAACGGTGTAGGAATTACAACAGTTTGCATATGTGCCTCCCACTTGTTAAGGGACCAAAAGTAATGGGACAATTGGCGTCTCAGCTATTCCATGGCAAGGTGTGTGTTATTCCCTCATTATCCCAATTACAATGAGCAGATAAAAGGTCCAGAGTTCATTTCAAGTGTGCTGTTTGCATTTGGAATCTGTTGCTGTCAACTCTCAAGATGAGATCCAAAGAGCTGTCACTATCAGTGAAGCAAGACATCATTAGGCTGAAAAAACAAAACAAACCCATCCGAGAGATAGCAAAAACATTAGCCGTGGCCAAAACAACTGTTTGGAATATTCTTAAAAAGAAGGAACGCACCGGTGAGCTCAGCAACACCAAAAGACCCGGAAGACCACGGAAAACAAATGTGGTGGATGATCGAAGAATTCTTTCCTTGTTGAAGAAAACACCCTTCACAACAGTTGGCCAGATCAAGAACACTCTCCAGGAGGTAGGTGTATGTGTGTCAAAGTCAACAATCAAGAGAAGACTTCACCAGAGTGAATACAGAGGGTTCACCACAAGATGTAAACCATTGGTGAGCCTCAAAAACAGGAAGGCCAGATAAGAGTTTTCCAAACGACATCTAAAAAAGCCTTCACAGTTCTGGAACAACATCCTATGGACAGATGAGACCGAGATCAACTTGTACCAGAGTGATGGGAAGAGAAGAGTATGGAGAAGGAAAGGAACTGCTCATGTTCCTAAGCATACCACCTCATCAGTGAAGCATGGTGGTGGTAGTGTCATGGCGTGGGCATGTATGTCTGCCAATGGAACTGGTTCTCTTGTATTTATTGATGATGTGACTGC